CCACTGCACTCCAGTCTGGGCGACAGAGTGAGACTCCAACTCAAAAAAAAAAAATCTTTCCTGGACATCCAACCCTAAGAGAATATGCTGCTTCAAGACCAGCTCTACAGGAAATGCTAAAAAAAAGGCACTGTGCACAGAAGAAAAAAGAAACAAAAGAAAAACCATATGTTCCACAAGATCACTAACAAACATAGAAGCAGCAGAACACACAGCATACCCGCAAAAATGAAAACATACACATATATGAATACTAAAGCTAAACAAAAACAAAACAATCTTATAAAAGCATCATGACAGGGAAAACACTCACAATTCAATAATCAGCCTGAACATGAATGGACTAAATGCACCACTGAAAAATCATAGAATGGCAAACTGGATAAAAACACATGATCTAGCAATTTGCTGTCTCCAGGAAACTCATCTCACTACAAAGAATATTCACAGTCTCAAAGTTAGAGGATAGAAAACAAAGTTTCAGGTGAATGGATCACAAAAGAAAGTAGGAGTCATGATCTTAATATCAGACAAAGCAGGCTTTAAGCTATCAAAAATTTTAAAAGATATGGAAAAACACTACATAATTATAAAAGATTTGATTCATCAACAAGAAATCTTCATCCTAAACATATATGCACCCAACACAGGAGCACACACTTTTATAAAGCAGCTACTAAGTAAACTAAAAAATAATTTACTCTAACACTATTATATAGTGGACTTGAATACCCCCACTAACACCCCTAGATAGGTCACTGAGGTAAAAAAATCAACAGAGATCTGGAACCTCAACTTGACACTTGACCAAATGGACTTAATAGATATCTACAGAACACTCCACCCAACATTCACAGAATATACATTCTACTCACCACCACATGGATAATACTCCAAGATCAACTACATCCTCAGCCATAAATCAAGCATAAACAAATTTCACAAGATTGAAATAGTGCTGTGCATCTTCTTAGATCACACTGGAATAAAAATAAATACTACCACCAACAAAATTCCCCACAACTCACAAAGACATGGACATTAAACAGTTTGATCCTGAGTCACTTTTGGGTCAATGCAGAAATCAAAACAGAAATTAAAAGATTTCTGAGGCCAGGTTCAATGACTCAGCCTATAATCCCAGCACTTTGGGATGCTGAGGCAAGTGAATTGCCTGAGCCTGCGGGTTTGAGACCAGCCCAGGTAACTTGGTGAGACTTCGTCTCTACAATAAATAGAAAATTAGCCAGGCATAGTAATGTGTGCCTGTAGTTCTGGCTACTTGGAATGCTGAGGCGGAAGGATCACTGGAGCCCAGCAGGTCGACACTGGGGTGGCCGTGAGCGTGCCACTGCACTCCAGCCTGGGCAACAGAGTGAGACTCCAACTCAAAAATAAAATAAAATAAAATAAAAATTCCTGAAAACAAATGAAAAGGAAGACACATCTTACCAAAATCTCCGGGATGCCATGAAAACAGCACTAAGAGGGGGATTTATATCTCTACAAACACACATCAAGAGAATAGAAAGAGAACAAGTTAAAAGCCTAATAAATCACCTAAGGGAGCTGAAAAGGCAAGACCACCAAAACCCTAACTTTACCAGAAGAATCTTGATCACCAAAGTAAAAGCCCAAATATGGGACACAGAAGACAAATAATATCATAGAAAAAAGTCAACAAAACAAAAAGCTGGTTCTTTGAAAGGATAAACAAGATTGATGGACCCCTAGCCAGACTGACCTAGAAGTAGAAACAATTAGAAACACAAAAGATCAAGTAACAACTGACTCCAAAGAAATACAAACGATTATCAGAGATTACTATGAACTATTACATGGAAACAAACTTGGTAACCTAAACAAAATGGAGAATTTTCTTACATCTCACAACTTCCCTATGTTGAAACAAGAAGAGATCGAGATCCTAAATAGACTAATAACAACCCAGGAAATTGACTGTGTCATAAGAAAACTACCTACAAAAAAAACCCTGGACTGGACACCTTTCCAGAAGAATTCTACAGAACATACGATGAGCAAATAACAGTCCTATTGAAAGTATTGCAGGCATTCGAGAAAGATAGAACACTTCCCAAATCACCTGATGAAACTAACATAACACTAATACCTAAGCCAGGGAAAGATCCAACAAAGAAAGAGAACTGCAGCCCAATATCCCTGATGAACATAGATGCAAAAATTCTCAACAAGATTCTAGCAAATCGGATCCAACAACACATCTCAAAAATCATCCACCATGACCAAGTAGGCTTCATCCCCAGGATGCAGAGCTGGTTCAGCATCCGCAAGACCATAAATGCAATTAAATACATCAACAGATGTAAAAACAAGAACCTTGTGATTATATCATTAGATGCAAAAAAAAAAAAAAAACCTTTTGATAAAATCCAGCATCCTTCTTTATAAAAACCCTTGAACACCTAGGCATAGAGGAAACATGTCTCAAAATACTAAGAGTCATCTATGATAAAACCACATCCAACATATTGCTAAACAGTCAGAAATTGGAAGCATTTCCCCAGAAAACCAGAATGAGTCAAGGCTGCCCACTCTCACCTTCTCCTATTCAACATAGTGTTAGAAGTCTTAGCTAGAGCAATCAGGGATATCCAAATAGGGAAAGGGGAAGTTAAGTTATCCCTCTTTGCTGACGATATGATCCTATACCTTGACAATCCAAGAGAATCTGTCAAAAACCTCTTTGCACTGATAAAGAACTTTGGCAAAGTTTCAGGGTACGAAATAAACATGCAAAATACAGTCACATTCTTTTACAGCAACAACAAACAGGTAGACAGCCAAATAAAAAACATAATCCCATTCACAATAGTCACACACAAAAAATGAAATACCTTGGCATCTTTCTAACCAAAGAAATGAAAGGTCTTTACAAAAAAAAACTATAAACCACTGCAAAAGAAATCAAAGATGATACAAACAAATGGAAAAATATTCCATGCTCATGGATAGGAAGAATCAACATTGTTATGATGTCCTTCCTACCAAAGGTAATCTATGGATTCAACACAATACCCATTAAATTACCAACATCATTCTAAGTTCTGGAGACAGCATTACAGAAATTCATATGGAAACATACATGGCCATGACTAGGCAAAACAATCCTTAGCAAAAGAAACAAAGTGGGAGTATCACACTTCCAGACTTTAAACTTGATTATAAGGCTACAATAATCAAAACAGTCTGGTATTGGTACAAGAACAAACATATAGACCAATGGAACAGGATAGAGATTCCAGAAGTAAAACAATTTTTCAACCAGCTCATCTTCACCAATGCTTCCACCAACAACAACTGGGGAGAAGAGAACCTATTCAGGAAATGGTGCTGGGAAAACTGGCTAACCTCAAGCAGAAAATTGAAAAAGGACCCCTATCTATCACCATACATAAAAATCAATTCCAATGAATCAAAGACCTGAACGTAAAACCCCAAACTTTAAGAATCTTAGAAAACACAGGAGAGACGCCCTTACGGAAATTGGAATAGACAACCAATTCCTGATCAAAACCCCAAAGGCCCATGTCATAAAAGGTATGATAGACAAGTGGGACTTCATCAAACTGAAAAGTTACCACAAAGCAAAAGAAACCATCAAGAGAGTGGAGAGACAGTTCACAGAATGGGAAAAAAATATTAGCCAACTGCATATCTGACAAAAGTCTAACATCCAGGATCTACAAGGAACTTAAATGTGCCAAAAAGAAAAAACCAAACAGCCCTATTAAAAAGCGGGCAAAATGCATGAATAGACAATTCTCAAATGAAGACGTACGAGCAGCCAACAGACACATGAAAAAATGCTCAGCCTCACTAATCATCAGAAAAATGCAAATCAAAACCACATTGAGACACCATCTAACCCCAGTAAGAATGGCCATCATTAATAAAACAAAAAACAACAGATGCTAGCTAGAATGCAGAGAAAAGGGAATGCTTCTACACTGTTGATGGGAATGCAAACTAGTTCAGCCTCTATGGAAAACAGTGTGGTGTTTCCTAAAAGAACTAGAAATTGGTCTTTCATACGACCCAGCATTCCTTCTTCTGGGAATATACCCAGAGGAACTTAAATCACTCTACAAAAAAGATACCTGCACGTGCGTGTTTATTACAGCACTCTTCACAATAGCTAAAACATTGAACCCACTGTGCTGCCTATATAAACTGGACTGGATAAAAAAAGTATGGTACATATGCATGATGGAATATTATGCAGCCATAAAGAAGGACAAAATTATGGACTTCGCAACAACTTGGATGGATTTGGACTCTATCATACTCAATGATCTACCACAGAAACAAAGAACTGAGTACCACATGCTCTCACTCATAAGCAGACCCTGAACATTTACCATAATACTATAAGGAAGGGATTGGTGGTAGCTGGAAACTGCCTGGGGGAGGAGAGCACATAACATTAATGAGAGTACCTGATCTCAAACCAGACAAAGTAGGGACTAAAGGGAGGTCCAAACATTATCTGTACAACGACCACTTGTGTACCTAATCCTCTTTCCCACATCTTTAAAATAAAAATTAAAAGTAAAAAAATTAAATTAAATTAAAATTTAAAAATAAAATTGAAATTAAAAAAGTAAACAAGACATCCTCTATTCTGAGCACCTTCTCAATATTAAACTCACTTAAAGTGGGTGGAAAGGAGAGTGCATCACATCTTTTAAATCCAACAAACATTGAGCAAAGTTGTCTAGAAGTAAATAATACTCTAATTCTCGGGTGCTGTGTCATATTGGTGAGTCTCTATTTTTTTAAACTTTCTTGAAATCAAGGTAGAAAATGACTATACACATTGTAGCAAGAGTAAGGGGAAGGAACTTAAACACATAGAACTTGAGCTTGAATCCCAGTTGTGTGTCTTACCAGTTAATTTGCCATAGCGTTGACTGTGCCACTGAACCTCTAGGGACCTCAGTTTCTTATCTGTAATATGAGTGGCGTTCTCTGTCCTATCTATTTTACAAGGTTACTGTGAGGCTCAAGTGAGATAATAAGTGCACATGTACTCTAAAAACTCTGATGTGCTGTAAGTATGCGGGGCATACTATCATAATTTTATCAAAGTAGAATATCACATTTATAGGTGGTTTGCTACTTACATCAAATGCCATTTCGAAAAATTCATATGTTTCTATGAGTTTTAGCAGGCTAAAACTAATAATTAAAAACAAAACTTTTTTTTTACCCCAGAGGTCATTTTTCCTTGCAAATAAATTTGGCTTTGGTGCTTTCTTTCTTTGTCCATACACAGTTCGACTCACAAAAGCTGGCAAAAGCAGGAGACAGAAGACAAGGTATCTGTTCCACATTGTGGTAGATGGTAAGATCCGCCTTGTAGCACCTTTAATAGAAAAATCAGTTATAAATGTTTTCATACAATATAGTACTTGCTGTTTTTTATTTTAAATTTTAAAAATTTCAAAGCAGCAGAGTTAAAAATTGGCATGTAACTGGAGAAAGGGAGTTTTCATTCATATTTCTAGGAAAATATTCACACTGAGATTTTTTTAAGTTTCTAATCCAAATAAATCATGGCACCATAGCCAAACATTTACTAGTGAATATTTCTATATATTCAGAGAATTGTATTCAAGTATTCTTAATTTTCCTTATATTATGAAGCACATGGAGTGGGAAGAACCATTTAAAAACATTTCAGTTCCACTCTACAAGAGGGGACCCCCAAAAAAACCAGAACTATCTTTTGGAGAGTGGGCCCCTTGTAGTACACTTGAAATTTTGTCCTCTGGATCAAATGGTCAACCAAAGTTTTTATCTGGAAGTTTTGAGAAGGTTGCATCATGATTTGTGGAAAAAAAAGGCACAAGTTGTGGCAAACAGGTGACTGGTTTTTGCACCATTTCAACACACCTGCCCATAATGCATTGAGTGTTCTGCAGTTTTGCACCAAACACGGCATGATCCCTGTGCCTCCCCCTCCCTATTCGCCTGATCTCTCCCCATGTTACTTTTTTGTTTGTTTGTTTGTTTCCCCAGATGAAAAAAGTACTTAAAGGGAAACATTTTGTCGATGTGGAAAAGGTGAAACAAAAAACAGCAGAAGCATTGAAAGGCATCAAAATTGACAAGTTCAAAACTGTTTTGAGCAGTGGAAATAGCATCTCAATAGGTGTATAGCATCAAACAGAGAATTACTTTGAGGGTGACCAAAGTTTAAAACTGTAAGAATAAATACACAATTTTTTATAAATAAATTCTGATTTTGGGGGGGTTCCCCTTTGTATATGGTGACTGTGGTTCAATCACAGCATCTGCTTTGATGTTTCCAGGTTCTTCAGGCTGAATTCAGATTGCTATATGGTCATTTCAGTTTTTTCATTATAACTGATTCCCGAAAAACCCAATATTTTGCAGAATTGTAGAGAACCACCACCACTTCAGTCTCAACACCACACACAACTACAATGAGTTCATAGGTCAAGGCAAAAATTAAATTGCCTGTGTGTTTCCACAGAACCCCGTCTATCTTTTCTACTCTTGCTTGGGACCCTTGTCTCCACCAGGGTCCCAAGGTAGACTGCAGCTGCATATCCAAGGAATCAAGAGTCTGAGAGCAAAACAATAGATTGACCTGAAAGCAACACTGTTCTTCCAGTGTTTGCTGGAAGAACTAACGGATGGTCCTAGAACTTGAAGTCAAGAAGCACTCCCTCTGAGCAGCCCCGTGAAGCTATTTTTTATGGGCAGATGAACAATAAAAACATCAAATTCTATATTAAAACACTCAGACATCTTCAACAGTTCGTACACTAAGCTACCCACTAAATGACTGTTAAACTCTCAGACTTCCCTGGCAGAAGATACATGTGTCACTGCCCCGGTATGCCCAAGAGAATGGGAATGAGAAAGCTTATTTTGAACCAATATTCTCAGCATGCTTTGAAAACGCTTGCCTGTTTCGACTTTAATGACTTCAGGAGTTCTGGGAAAGGAATCACATTTTCCTTCTTTGGCACCTTGCCCTCAGGGACTGGGAATGGGGAAGTCATGAGCATGATTTTTCCAGGCTTTGAATAGAGGGTGGAAATATATGCAAAGGATGAGGAGTGAGGTGGGAGACAGCCTTTTTATTATTCATGCCAGATGAATAAACCTGAAAGGGAATCAAAGCTGCTGGGTTAGGGAAGGCCCAGGGATGGCTTTGTGCCACAGTCTGCTCCTCAAAGAGTACCATCCAGCTGGAAGTTTAGTAACTCGGGATCAGTACAACCAAGCATCTCAGCTAGCAAATGCATCAAGTGCAGCTGGCCAGATGCCATTTGATCTTCTGACCAGATATGCTGAGACTTGAAGCCAGGTAGGTGTTAAAAACCAAAGCAAGAAGGATGCTAAGAAAACAGAACACAAAAGGGACATCTCTCCTCAAGTTATCCCTTGCTGGGCAAGGAGAAGACTACAGGAAGAGGTACAACCTGAAGATGGGTGTCAAGATAAGGCTATGTGGAAAAACCCAGCTGCTACTGCATTTTCAGAGGGGAAGAGAAATGACCCCATGTTCCTGGGGCTATATAAGACTCTTCTCTTTGGTTGAGTTTATGCCATAAGGAATACCTCAGAGGTTCTGGAAATAAGAGACTGAGAACTGAATTTCATTGAGAACCAGGCAGGATTGTATAAGCTACAAGATCAAGCAATTCTTCCGAAACCTATGGAAGGTGATTTCTATGCAGACTCCTGAGGAGGAAAGCGCCCTCTTCCCACCTGTAGGCCTTAGAGGGGATTTTGGAAATGCTGGCTTTAAATACTTTCCCCAAATCAAGCACCTGCTCATATAGCTTTCTTGGCGTATGATCTTTCTTGGCATGTGTATCCATCCATATCTGGATCTCTGTGTAATTGATGCTCACAAACGTAATTTACCCATTGGCAATAAGCACAGTATCTCATATTTCATTTCAGTTTGGTCTGAAATTTTTAACCTAGCCCTCCCAAACCAAAGTCTGGCTATCCTAGCTTCCCTGTAATAGCCAGGACACTTGTATACCTTTCTGCTTCTGTTTCTCTTGTTTGTTAGTTCTACCACCTTCCTGAAATCTCTTCTTCACTAGTTTGGAGTGTTGAGACCTCACACAGTTTGAACCACTTTTTAACATGTTGCCTCAGTTTTTAATAATTCTCACCTTTCTCTCAGATGTCATATACAAGCAAAATCAGTTTCAGGAGAAAAAAAATGCCACTAGTTAAGTGAAAGAATTTTATATTTTATGATTTTTTCAAAATTAGAATTATCTTTTCAGAGTTTGCCAGTATTAGTGACAGTGCTGGCATCTCATTTGTTTCTACATGAAGGTAAAATGATTGAATAAAGACTTCATTCAAATTTCCAAACTAATCAGGTTACCAGGAATTCTATAATTAATTCTGAAATTTGGCAGTTTCTCTCACCCATGCCAGCTCTGGCATGTCTCTCTTTCCTTCCTCTCTTCTTTCTCTAATAAACTTTGCTTTAAATCTTTTTTAAAAAATTAATCCTGAATTTTAAAATTTGTTCCAAATTAAGAAAAGGAGGTCCCAAAAGATATTAACATCATTGTAATGCTACTTAGTAGACTGTAAATTCAAACACAATTTAAAAATCACTTTAAAATAAATTTCAAGTTTCTACATTTTAACAACAATCCTATTTTTCTAATAATTGATTTCTAATAATTAATTTTCTAATAATTAATTTAAAATATTTGCAGAGGATAAAAACTTTTGACAAGCTTTCCTCACATCATAAGCATGTAACCATTTGGCCTCCCATGGTTCCTAGATGGTCCCATCTGATTTCAAGTGACTAAAACAAAGCAGTTATGTCTTACCTTAACAAGTCTGTCATACAGGAATTAAAGGTGGGTTGAGTAAATGCCAACAGCAAGGACTATTGTGGGGCCTGGAGTTGATATTGTTCTATTCTGTGGGAAACACAAATTGTCTTTGCTTTGGAATCTTTTGCAGTCTTCTATTCATGTTTATGAGACTAAGTTAAAGCAAGAGTGGCCAGGCATCTAGCCAGGGTGCAAGATCTGGGTGGGATCAGTAGGCAACTTAAAGGAGCAGTGTCCTTTCAGAACAAGACTGTATTTTCCAGACTATGGCAAAAAAAAAAACAGCTTGGGTGAATTTTCTGCATTTGAGGCATTTATTGACAGCTCGCCTTTGTCTCTCATGTTGTGTCCTTCTTTTTTTCAGTCCTGCATCTCTGTGCCTTGGGGATGCACACTAAGGTACTGACTCTGAACAGCTCTGTGAAGGAGTATAAATGACATCAGACTCAGACTCAAAACTGGTTTTTCAAGAGAGATGGATCATAATTAAAGCAGGATTGTGACTACGTAGGTGTTCGTTAGCCTAGTCTTTCCATTTCTGTGGTTTTTTGAATTTTATATAATAAAAAGTATATATAACATGTAGGGAAAGAGTGGTCTGAGAAGAGTCTTGGTTCTGCCCCTAACATCGATGGGGACCTCAGTTTCCCATTCATGAAAAGAGGGAAGGGATTCAATTATTCATGAAGATTCTTTCAAACTGTAACATGGAAGGTTGGGTTACAGTGGTCAATATGTTGAGGTTTCTGCCAAGGAAAGGATGTCACGCTCTTTCTTCCTGTTTTCTACCTTGAGGTTATGGCCCATATTAAGTCCACGTTTATCAGGATGAAACTTACTGACAAGAAGCCACTTGACCCCTGGACAACTAACAGGCAGGTTTCTTCACGGACTGTGTCTGGGACAGAAAATAGCAAAATCATCACAGAACACAATATAAATAATTGTCCAAGCCACAATTGTTTAAATCAGCTTTCTTAGGAATTTAATGTGTATGCACTTCCTTATTATGACAGTGATGGCCTCCAGGTCATAGGCACTTACCCGGTGCGAGGCACTGTGCTAAATGTGTCACATACATGTCACTTAGTCCTTCACAAGCACAATCACTGACATTTGCTATGTCCTCACTTAGAGTCCTCCATAGGTTTTTGGAAACTGCAACTTTAAACAAAGTGAGACATATTGAAGCCAATTTTACCATAGGCTAGTTGGCATAAACAAGAGTAAAGTTGCTATGGCATATTTCAGGTCACAAAAACATCATCAAATTTCCAAAAAAAGGCCCAAACCCCTACTCATGTTAAACATGGAAATAAATGTGAGCTATACATACATGTAAGAAAGATTCAGAGGTGGCTCATGCCTGTAATCCTAGCACTTTTGGAGTCCAAGGCAGAAGGATTGCTTGAACCCAGGAGTTCAAGACCAGCCTGGACAACATTGCAAGACCCTGTCTCTACAAAAAATAAGAGAGG